AACACGCACTTGGCCATGAACATCGATTCGTACGAAAATCTGACGACCCGAATCGGACGTTTGCGATTGAGAAGATGTGGTTCAACTCCGGCTTTGACAATCTTCGTCGCCTACGCATCATCAACATCAAGCTGCGACGAGGAGAGATTGAAACATCCTATAGGGATTGGAGAAGTTCTACAAGGATCGGACCCTGAAGAACGGCCGAAAAACATCGGAACTCACGGAACGGAGTGGAATGAGCAGGGTGAAAGGCTGTCTGAGTTTATCATGTCGACCCACACCATCCATGGTAACTCGCAGTTCCAGAAGCCCTACTCTCTACGCTGGACATGGGAGTCTCCTGGTGGACAATTCCATAATGAGATCGACCACATCATCTCCAATCGATGGTTTCACATCCGACATCGCTGCTGCTCCCAAAATCTACATGGGATCGCACCACCGTCATTGTGCAAAGTTCTTTTCGATGCGAGGAGAGAGAGCAGCAAACTTCAAGAAACGAAGTTCTAACCATGAAACCGTCATCAAGTGGGATCTTCACCTCGCTCTCGATCTCTCGCTGGGCTCTAGGATGATTCCGTTATTGACAACATCAAGTGGAGTACGAACGGCTTGTCGCACATCTTCACGACTGCGCCAAGAAGTCAGAGAGTTCCAAGATTACGAAAAGCATTTATCTCTGGGGAACTCCCAAGCTGATTCGCTAACATGGAGCTGCACGACCCGCTCTTTTCTCCTTGAAGAAGACCTTAAGGAGAGCAGCAGTACTGGTGGAAGCCGCAGAGGCTGGGAAGAGCATACGCAACGCCCGCCGCGACTTCGCCAACTGTAAGACCAAGATGACCGCCCTCCGACGTCCGGACGGAACAATCACCGCATCCAGAAGGGCAATGGAGAAGGTCATCCACGACTTCTACTCTGATCTCTTTGACAGCCACGTCCACCTGCCACCGTACCGTTTGGAGTAGGATAGGATACGTCTTTCTGCAGTTCTCCCTTCCGAAGTCCGACATGCCATCTCGTCGGTAAGGAATCGTACGGCACCCGGTCCCGACAGGATCAGACCCGAACATCTGAAGAATCTTCCGCCAGTTCTCGTCAAAACTCTGGCTCGACTCTTCACGCTACCTGTCGGAATGCAAGGTACCCACCTCGTGGAAAACCAGCAAGACTGTGTTGCTGTACAAGAAGGGAGACCTGTACGACATTGGCAATTATCGCCCAATCTGCCTGCTGTCTGTAGTCTACAAACTCTTCACACGAGTCATCCTGAACAGGATTGGCAGAACACTAGACGAAGGACAGCCATGCGAGCAAGCAGGGTTTCGAAGAGGATTCAGCACGATCGATCACATCCACACGGTAATGAAGCTCATCGAAGTATCGCGAGAGTAGAAGATGCCGTTATGTCTCATGCTGTCTCTTCATCATGTTGAAGGGAGCCTTTTCGACTCCAGTGACACAGAAATGGTCAAGGAAGTCCTGGATAACCAAGCTGTTTTTACTCAGTACATCAGGATTCCTTCGAGAGCTCTACAGCAACTTCACGACCAGGATCTCACCATTCTACAAGGAGATCATCATCGACGTGAAGGAAAGGATTCGACAGGACGACAGCTGGACAGCTGGAATGGGAAGACATGGGAGTGAAGATCGACGGTCGGCAACTACACCATCTCCGCTTTGCTGACGACATCGTTTTGATAACACCATCGAGCAAGCGGAACGAATGCTGGCTGATTTCGACTGCGCGTGTGGAAAAATCGGTCTACGCTGAATCTAACGAAGACGATGTTCATGAGAAACGGATTGGTTTCTGATGCCCCATTCACGCTCAACGGAACGAACATCTCTGAATGCTCTAGCTAGTGTACCTGGATTAGGAAACTATGATGAACGACTCAGCACCAGAGCTGAGCAGGAGGAAGCGAGCGGCTTGGGGAGCTTCAAGAACATCGAGGGAGTAGCGAAGAAGACGAAGAACACAAGGCTCCGTGCCCACCTCTTCGATTCCGCGGTCCTTCCTGCCTTGACGTACGCCTCAGAGACTTGGACTCTACGAAAGCAGGATGAGCATGCGGTAAGCGTCATCCAACGCACCATCGAAAGAGAAGATTTCAGCGTTTCCCGCTACACGCAGGTGAGCGTGGAAATCCGCAGTTCCGCACTAATATTACTTTTCATGAAACTGCCAAGTGAGTGATGTTCAGCGAGTTTATTCTCGGCATAGTTGCGATAAACCATGAAGCGTTGACGACTTCAACGACGGAGATCTTTTCGTGGAGAAAGAACATGCGCTTCACCATCACCTTTGAACAATGTGAAATTGAAAAAATGTGATGACGCTTCTTCATAATCAACGCGATTGGTAATCAATATGACATGTATGAGTCGTGCAAAATAAAAGCCAAAATGCTTCAAAATCTATATTCAACAGCAAATCAAAGGAAGCAAAGAAACACGTGAAATGGTAGTTTGAGTTAAAATTTCTAAAAAAGGCATGCCTCACTTAGACAGCAGTAAATAAGCAAAGCGATGCTACGAAACGCTGAATAAACGGCAAGGTAGAGCCCCAAATTGCGAATTCAAAAGACTGGACTATAAAAGACCTACAAAAACAACAAAAAACACCTGTGAT